AACTGACCCAGCCGGAACTCGAACCAGGGACCTTCTTGCTGTGAGGGCACAGTGCCAACCACTGAGCCATCGTGTCGCTCGCACTGTAAATTAATAATCACAATTTACTGTGAAATTTACAGTACTGTAAATGTGCAAGCGCATTGTAAAGTACTAATTATAATTTACTGTAACATTTACAGTAAACTACTGGAATTGACTGGAAGTAACCTAATGGAACTTATCCAGCATATGTTTTACACAGCAGAAGCCCTTCGAGCTGCAACTCAGTACTGGGAAACATCCATATACACAAATTCACACTTATACACTACGATATGCCATATGGCAATTTAGTTTATTCAATTCACCTTTACCAAATATCTTTGGACTGTGGAAACTGGAGCGCCTAGAGAAAACCCACACCATCACGGGGAGATCATGCAAACAGAAATGCCAAGTGAGCCAGCCAGAAGTTGAACCAGCAACCTTCTTGCTGTGAGGCGACGGTGCTAACCATTGAGCTACCGTCTCGCCCACACTGAAAATTGGTTATTCATTTATATTCTTTTTGCCTTAGTCCCGTTAATAATCTAGGGGTCGCCACAGTGGAATGATCTGCTAACTTATCCAGCATATGCTTTATGCAACGGATGTGAGGCAACAGCGCTACCCATTGGGCCACCGTGACACCACTTTAAATAATAATTACAATTTACTGTGAAATTTACAGTAACTTACTGGCAATTTTGGTTGGTGGTAAGACTTTAAATTAATAATTAAAATGTATTAACTTGGCAATTTTGGTTGGCATTTAGACTGTAAATTTAGAGGTGTATTGAAAATTATTGATTACAATTTTAATGTAAATATACAGCACAATTGTAATCATTTATTTAAATAGGGCTTCTAAATTACTAGCAACCAAAATTGTCAGTTAGTTACTGTAAATTCTGCTGTTTTTTATTTTTAACAACAAAAAACAAGTATATATATATATATATATATATATATATATATATATATATATATATATATATATATAGAGAGAGAGAGAGAGAGAGAGAGAGAGAGAGAGAGAGAGAGAGAGAGAGAGAATTCTCTCAAGACAAGAATGGGTCATTTTTTTAGGTTTTGATTTACTTTTAAGGGTTTTGATCCACTTCAAACGTACTGTCGATTGTAATGTAAATATTTTCAAAATTATTATTTTAATTAACTATTTTATTAATACAAAATACAACAAATTTTACAAAAATATAAAAAAATCTAATAACTATAATACAAAAATATAATTTATTAATATTTTATAAATTAATTATCCATCATTTGAAAAAATAATGAAATTACAAATGTGATTTTAAAATGAGTAAATAGATATATTGAGTAATGTAATGAATAGAAAAATGTAATGTACGTTACAGTAGTCAACATTTAAAGTGGGTCAAGAATATTTATTAGAATTCTTCTAAGACAAATATGAGTGTTTTGATTGACTTTGATGAAAGGTTTTGATCCACTTTAAACCTTCACTTCTGTAGATTGTAAATTTTCCTAATTATTGTTTTAATTACCTATTTTATCAGCAGTTAATACAACAAACTAAATAATCAATAAAAATGTCATGCAAGTGGTATATAGTAGTCAATGTTTAACGTGGTTTTGATAGACTTACCAAATGCTGACTACTGTAAGTGTGTGTGTGTATGTATATATATATTTTAAATGTCACTTTTAGCTATATAGAAGTGTCTTAAAATATCTAGTAAAATATTATTTTCTTTCATTATGGCAAAGATAAAATAAATTAGATATTAGAAATGAGTTATTAAAACTATTATATTTAGAAATGTGTTGAAAAAATCTTCTCTCCGTAAAACAGAAATTGGGGAAAAAATAAACAGGGGGCTGATAATTCTGACTTCAACTATATATATATATATATATATATATATAATATAAAATATATATATCTAAAACACTCTCATAAATAATTTTAAGAGAAAATATTCTTGAAGGCACAGTTCACCAAAAAAGGTAAATGAGATTCCTGCTATCATTTACTCAGCCTTGTTTGTTTGTTTGTTTGCTTTAACTAAACACAAAATAAGCTCTTTTGATGGAAAGTCACACAGTATTTGTTTTTGCTTCAATGGAGGTCGGGTTACAAGTTTCCAACATTTTTAAAATGTTTTCTTTTGTGTTCAAGAGAACAAAACAACTCAAAGCGGTTTGGAACTAAGGGCGAATAAACAATGACCAGATTGCCATTTAGTCTAATTTTTGCCCACATATGGTAAATGAAAAAGGATATTTTATTGAATATTTCGAATTTGATCAAATCTGCATTAGCCTTTTCAAACATAAAACATTTAAATAAAATAAATAGACTATTCAAAACCACAAACACTTTGTCATTTTATATTATATTATTTTATTTTATATTATATTATATTATATTATATTATATTATATTATATTATATTATATTATATTATATTATAGACCCAATATTAAGTTAATACAATACAGTGTTTACTTTCTGATAAATCTTTTTAAGAGGAAAATGATTTCAGAAACTGCTGGTTTCAGATGGAATACTCTGAGGTATTTTGATGCATCTATCTGACCATTCCTTACCATACCTTTGAAATAAAACAACCACCAGCAGATGGTAGTCTAAGCATGTAGGTAAGGCATCTGATGCACGCACATTCTGGGTGTCCTCAAACTGAAATCTTTTATAATTCTCACAGCCTAATGACTGGGGCTTTTGTAAGGGTCGTGACATGAGGTTAGAGGTTAGAGGTTAGAATCAGGATAAAAAAACAGATCTCGGATCCAGTGAGTAGGAAAGATCTGTCATTTAAATACGCAACCAACCACTAAACACGTTTTACCAGGACAGATAAAATCCCACAGTGGAATACGTCATGTAGAAAATCAGTAGGTGTAGGATATTACTCTAATCAAGCCTGATATATTATTGAAGATGGCAGGGTTTACCTAGTTTTTCAATTAAACTGAGGTCACTGAGTTTAAAACATAGAGTTATTGAATAATAGATGTTGCTTACTGTATATTGGTATAACACAAAATCTCCTGAGATCTTCCTCTTCTTTTTTAGGATAGCCTGACCGGTGCTTCAAATGATTTATGCTACACTAGTTGGCTTTATATTATGGGAAATTATATAATTTTTTTTGTGCATGGCAGTGTGACTAAGTAAAAATGCTGCTTATTGAATGGAGTGAATGATTTATTGCAAAGCCCTACAGATCTTTTGGGTTTCCTGCTTCCCTCATCTGATGGATAATAGGAGACAGAGGAAGAGAGGTTTAATGTCTTTATAATGGTGCTTCCAGTAACAGAGTGCATTGATAATTCATGCCAGCAGCAGACCAATTTTATTTTTATTTTTTTTTTCTCATCTTGTGGCGCTATTGTTTATTTAAACAGCAGGGGCGCCATTTTCATGACACATAAAACAGGAGCCACGCTTCTCCATATTCTAGACATTGTGCCATTTCTCATAATTTCGCATATTTTTAAGCACACAGTTTGTCAGTTAGTCTCATGTTTGCTCACATATCATAACTTAAAATAAATAGTATTGAACATTTGCGATTTAAATGTATGTTAATCGAATGCCTTAGCCTTATAAATAGATAATTAAATAGCCTTCATATCCAAAAACAATTTTGACACTTTGATATACAGAGAATTATTTCTTTTTTAAATATTTCCCAAATTATCTTTTACAGAGATTATATATATATATATATATATATATATATATATATATATATATATATATATATATATATATATATATATATATATATATATATATAATTTATTTATTTATTTTTATTAATTAATTAATTAATTAATTAATTAATTTTTTTTTTGATAGTCTACAGAACAAACCACTGTTGTACAATAACTTGCATTTACCCTAACCTGCCTGGTTAATTAGTTAATTAGTTAAGCCTTTAAATGTCACTTTAAGCTGTATGGAAATGTCTTGAAAAAATATCTAGTAAATTATTATTTACTATCATCATGACAAAGATATAATAAATCAGTTATTACCAATGAGTTATTAAAACTATTATGTTTAGAAATGTGTTGAAAATCTTCTCTCTGTTAAACATAAATTGAGGAAAAAATAAACACGGGGCTGATAGTTCATATAATGCATTTAATAATTATATCATACATATATTACTTCCACATGTTGATTTGAAACAACTTTAAAGGGCATTTTAGTACTCTAAGTTAGTGATAGACACTTTGGCCCTGCATTTCATATCAGATGTAGACTAGTGTCCACGAAAAATAACATCTGCATCAAATAATGGCCCCTTATTGCTTTGCCAGGTGATGGATGACATTTCCAGGTAATTCAATCAAACCAATTTAAGTTCAATTCAAGTCCAGCTAATTCTTCATTATCCTCTCAGTGCTCTGAATGGGTCAGCCTGTAAAGTGAATTACCATCATTACCGCCACTATTCGCGTGAGGATCGATAAGGCAGGTGGTTTATCAGAGGAAATGATGGCATGGAGCGTTTCATCCTTTCTCCTTATCATCCGGACACTGCACATTGCAAAAGAATTTACACACTGATTGTCCTGTCAGAACTCTGATATCTTGATGGAAAGATTTTGACGACGTTGGCGTTTCTAAACTATGAATCTTTCGTTGTTTTCATTAATTATTTCATTGTGGATTTACTTAGATGTAGATTTAATTCTATTCTGCTCTAACTTTATAATGTGTTAAGAAAACAAAACAACAAATAAAGTCAGCCATTTTAACAAGGAGTTGAGCTGACATTCTCTAAAGTTTAATGAACTTTTTTAATGTGGATTCTGTGGAAACAGTGTAGAACGCGGCTAGACTGCTGGTTTACAGGCATGCGCACAAGAAGTACGGGAGGTGGAGGGTGTTTAGGGGCGGGTTGGGTATATAATACTTCTCTCAGAGAACTTTTGCCTGTCGCCTGATTTTGGGACAGCTCCACACAACATCCTAACACCATCTAGGGGACTTAATCCGACCTTCACTACCAAATACAACAGCACAGCATTTTTTCACGTTGTCATGGAGGACCAACTAAAACATCATTCTGTTTGCCATACCTGCTCGAGAACAGACAGTTTCGTAAATAAGGTAAAGAAAATCTTTTAAGAACCTTGGACATATTTGGAGACAATTGCTTTCGTGCTGTTCTCTTGAATAGAAAACAAACCAATAAAAAGAGACGCTTTATAGAAACTGTTGAGTCGCATCATAAAAATCTGAAACTGGCACGGTCGATAAACTAAGGAGATTTAAAACAGTGTTCCTTTGCTGAAGCGGTTCGCGTAATGAAATGGATGTTTTTGACATTCTTAACAATTACCAGATCATCTTGACAGCGCTAAACTGCAGAATGTGCACAATGAGGAATTCAAGTTATTAACTTTATTTCTGTAAAACACCTTACAATCTTTCTGTATCATGAAAAGCGACTGCGAATATATATATATATATATATATATATATATATATATATAAAGGACTTGACATTACGTTCTGGATACGCGCACACTAGAAAGAATGTTGCACGAGGGGGCGACAGCACTTTAAATGACTTGGATTTAAGGAAACTAAATGCTGAGTTGAAAGGAATGAGATAGCTTGGTAGATTGAGAAGTCTTGCAACTTGTTGAACGTTGTGTAAGAATGTAAAGGACAAGATAAAGCCTTTCGACTTGGATAAGCAATTCATCTTTAAGCCGAAAATTAAAAAGTCGATGCATGAATGTGTAATGAAGATTTACAATGCCTGATTTAATAAGATGGACGAACTAATGACATGCCAAATGCATGACGTTAGGGATAGATGATCAACAGGTCTCTCTAGAATAATACTTGATATTGTTTTGTGTGAAAAATTACATTCATAACTACAAAAAGTTTTTTAATTCAGTTTACTTATAAATTTTAGTTTCTTGTTTGTTTTATGAATAGCAAGGTTGCAACCTTATTAATTGTGCATTAAGCTGAAGATTGCTAAGCAGATATTAAGACACATTTTTATTTATTTTTATTCAAACCTGAAAAGGCGTGCATATAATTGCAAATGTGCATTGAGTACACTGGCAAATTGTCTGTTGTGAACAACAGTGCATTATGTATAGACCGTAAAGGCATGCTTCTCCATACAGTAAATTGACCATGTAATCAAGCAGATAAGTGAGGAGTCAATTTCCATGCATTCACACACGGAAGTATTGCATTACTAAAGTCAACATCTTAAGAATTCTAATTATACTTAAGGAAGGAGGAGTATGCATTATGTTCAGCATTTAAGATAAATAAAGAGACAAGATTTGTCCATTAAAAATAAAATGCAAACTCTCTAAACTGAACTAACTAAAGCATGTCATCTTTGCAGGTCATAAAGATGTTCTGGTCCATACGGATGCCAATATGCATACTGTTTTTAACCCTGTCTGCCTTCGAAGTTGCTTCAGCTGAAACGTTATGTGGCGGAGAGCTGGTGGACGCTCTACAGTTTGTGTGTGAAGACAGAGGCTTCTATTTCAGTACGTACACTTTTCAGCATTTTCTTGGCTTTTGCTTAGGAGTCCTGCCAATTGCATGTCACGAATGACCTAGGTTACGACCAAAGTCTCGGCAGATTGTGCTGACTGGGCGCATTCTCTTGCGATATCTGTGATTGCATATGAAAGGGATGCTAAATGAGCCACAATGGCCTGGTTGTTTACTTGCACATTCCGTCAGGGAAAGTAATAGTACCCAAGTGGCATTCCATTCACCTCTCCAGAAATGTTCCCAGGCTACACTCAATTGAAAAAAAAAAGAGTTGTTTGTCCTTTTACATGGCTGGATGGAATGGAGACAGCTTCATTACTATTTTAGCGTAACAGATACTAACCAATACGTTCGCACTATTTCAAAGCAGCGCCTGCCGACCGTGCAATACAAATACATCTGTTGGATGTGCACCGCTCACATGCACGGAGGGGGTCGAGAGCACAACTTTTTAAATATTTGTCGTCTTCCTCACGCCAGCACTGACAAACAGACAAGGCCTTTGTGTTCTTTTGGCCACAGAAGCCTAACTACCCCGAAAGATCATTATCCAATTTGGGCCAGCACAGATTTCCCCCCTCCGTCCACCACTTCTACTCTTGTTCAATGTTTCCCATCCTATAATCAAGAACTCCCTTTCAGATCAGTGTGACTATGAGAAGCACAAATCGTTCACATATTATTTGACTGAAAATCAATTGTTCCTTCCTTTTCCCGGTCTAGCTCATGCACCCCCCCCCCCCCATTACTGTGTCCTGTATCTTCGCTCTTTCATGCCAAGTCTGTTCTTCTACCCCTCCCCCTTCCTCTCTTTCATGCACTCTTTATCTCTGCTGAGCTGGCAAAGGACAAGGTCAAAGGATATCCACCATTTACTCATCTAAACAGAAGCGAAGACTTTTGCCCTTCAACTCTTTCGTTGCCTTATTCGTAGTCTTTCGTTCCTGGGAATGTGGTTCCTGGTGAATTCTTCGAAACAGATTTCGAGCAGCTCAATTAGACGGCATAACAAGATCAGTCCAGGCGAGAAAACAAATAAACAGACTCCATTTTATGCCACCGATTCTGGCTTTATTATACACCACAGATGCATCCCAATCAAAACATAATGAATTGATAATGAAATCTGCCTCTACAATGGAATCAGGTCACTGTAGCTTGATTTACATTGACTTGCTTGCAGGGTTTGTTAAATATGTTTGCATGCTTGATAGTGACAGCTTGAGCCAAATGTCTTTTTTCTTGGTAATAGCACTCAAACTAGCTGGTTTGTTGGTCTTAAATGGTTAAATGCATGTGCTCAGCTGGATTCTCTGGTAAATATAATCATCTTAAACCAGTCTGTGCCAGTTACCAGACTTTTCAGGCTGGATCATTAGTTACTCAGGTAAACAATAGCTTGGCCAGGCAGTTTAGGCTTGTTTAGTCAGGCTTTTTGAAGTAGGGTTAACTGGTCAGCCAGCTTGTCTTCTTTCCTGACTTTTTGACAAAAGCGCAGTGTCATATGATCAAGCAGGGTTACCAGCAAACCAATTTATACTAGTATCAAATTATAGATTAGACTATTAAAATGATCTGTCATTTACTCAACCTTCATGTACTTCCAAGCCTTAACACAACATATTTTTAAGGAATTTTGGGGAAAACCTTTTGTCCATAGGACAAAAAATGGGGTCCAAACAACATTGGTCTCCACTAGGTTTCACTACATGAATAAAAACTTGTTTTCAGCAACAAGAGGGTGATGGAAATTATGACAGAATTTTCATTTTTGTGTGGATATTTTCCATAAGCAAAAGGTGTTATTCTCTGATGTGGACAGAATAATATTATTGTCCATGAACTCATGATTTCCATCTGTTTCCCCCGCAGGTCGACCAACTAGTAGGTCAAACAGTCGACGTTCTCAAAATCGTGGGATTGTGGAGGAGTGTTGTTTTAGTAGTTGCAACCTTGCTCTGCTAGAACAGTACTGCGCTAAACCTGCCAAGTCAGAGAGGGACGTTTCAGCCACATCGCTGCAGGTCATTCCAGTGATGCCCGCATTAAAACAGGTATGTTGTCCGTGGGAAACAACAAAAACATCACACCTCACCGTCATGATTTTCCTTTGCTTTCTGCTGAACTCGTACATAATGTCATGTGGGTTTTACGAAAACAGTTAGCTAGAGGAAGGAACTTGTAAGCAAGTATTGTCCTAAACTGCTGACAAAGTGGAAAATGAGATAATAGAAGTGAGAGGTCACATACAGTTTGAAATTTTCCTTTAGATTACATCAAAATGCTTACAAAACATCTCTCAAAATGGCCTGATTGTTGAGTTGGTGCTTAAGCAATGGAGACTTTGAATTAAAGCAATTTATTGCATATGTTGGTAACACTTCATTTTGATAGTCCCTGAGTATTAGTAGACTGTTAGTAGACTGTCAGCTTAATATCTGCTGATACTGCTTCTTTAACATTTAACCGACTCCGCTCTTAGAAATAAAGGGTACGCGAGCTGTCACTATGGTGGTACCTTTTCAAAAGGTACAAATTTGTACCTAAAAGGTACATATTAGTACACCAAGGGTACATATTAGTACCTAAAAATCACAAAAGTGTTCCTCTTAAAATTTTTAGGCACTAATATGTACTTTTAAGGTACCAATATGTACCCTTTAAGTACAAACGTGTACCTTTTGAAAAGGTACCACCTCAATGACAGCTTGCATATCTTTATTTCTGAGAGTGTATAAGAAACTTCGCAAGTATTTCAACTTACACTAATCCTTACCTAACAGTCTACTTATAATCTAATGAGAGTTAGTTGGCATGTAGATGCATTGTAACCTAATTTCAACAAATGGACCATTAAAAAAAAATATGACCCATATGTTTAAGTAATCAAAATAAAAACAAGAAAACCGTTTGGAATAACAGGTATTCCTCAGGGTTTTGTCTTGGTGGTTTAAAGTTTTGGGGTGTTTTCAGCAAAATATCTAATAAAACTGTGACGATTTGGACTCATTTTCTAACTCTACATTTTTTTTTTTTTTGTAACAGGAGGTCCCAAGAAAACATGTGACCGTCAAATATTCCAAATATGATGTGTGGCAAAGAAAGGCTGCTCAGAGGCTACGGAGGGGCATCCCTGCCATCTTGCGGGCCAAGAAGTTCAGGCGGCAGGCGGAGAGAATCAAGGCCCAGGAGCAACTGCTCCACCACAGGCCTCTCATCACGCTTCCCAGCAAGCTGCCTCCCATCCTTCTTCCCACAGAAAACTACGTTAGCCACAAGTGAAAAGACAGGATCGTTTGCACAGAGTTGATAAAAAAGACTGAGGGATCAAAAGCTTTTTTGTCTCTGACGTCATTTCTGTGGCAGTCCTCAACAACCCTTCTTCCTACCCCACCAAACCTGCTCACATGCTCTTCCAGTTTCTATTCTTACTGTTTCGTTCACCAACAAAAAGGCACATCGTAAACGAGAGGAATTCAGGTGAAGAAGCAAAGAAAAGAGCAAAGCAGTCGTGGAACGTCTTGCCAGGACATCAGAGAGCGCGAGGAACAGCGAAAGCTAGCATGAAAGAACCCATTCCACTGCATTCTCCCAAGACAAAAGTATTTCTCTTTTAGTCCTTTTACATATTAGTTTGCACCTGTAACTATAAAGGGACATCCACACTGTAAGGAATTGTTGTAAAATTAGATTCCTGTTCCAGCACCTTGTAATCACAAATGAAAAGCAGAAGAAGCGTCTGCGAATTGCACATCGCCACGGATTACGTCAAAGTTCTTGTTAAGTAAATAAAAAAGGCACTATTTTTTTATGGACTATGAACGTGTAGCTCAAAAAATGTCATGGTGCTAGCTTTGGGAAAGGACTCAGAGGAGAAGGGTTTTAAAAGCACGTTTTTTTTTTTCCTTTGAGACTTTATTAAGCTTTCCGTTTTAAGGAAAGCGTGACTTTCGAAAGGGTAATCATGAGCATATTGGCGGCGAGGGAGATCGCTGCATGCAGACGTGTATGTAAGACACGCGATGTATGCTTTGGGTCCCACGCTGCCATCGCGAAAAAGGAAGGAGCAGTGTGGGGACGCTGGAGGGATCATGTTCAAGCGCCTGGACGTGGGGAACTCAAGCGTGGCTGCACAAAACCCCTGCTTTGCACTGCAGGAAGAGAGACATTGTGACCTTGAAAAAGTGGGATGTTTGTATTTTCTATGTTATTTTTTTTCGTGACAATGCTTCAAGGAAAAAAAAGAAAAAAAGGAGGGAAAAAAAGCCCAGTTTCTGGTACCGTGACATTCTTGTTGCAAAATAGGCTTTGTGTTTTTGTAACGTTATTTTACAGTTCTGAAGAAAAAAAAAAAGGCACAAATATCAATTCAAAGGGAAAAAACGCAATAATGTCAACTAACATATATTTTTAACGTTTATCCGTAGTATTCACATGCTTTTGCCTGAAAACAAATACTTGAATATATATAAATATATATATATGAATTAAATATAAAAATATATATTGTAATTAGTTTCCAGGGACATCATGTACTATTCTTTTAGTCTGAGCTGTATCTTGCGTAATGAGCCGCCAAGCTTCTTTTTGTTTGTTTGTTTGTTAAAGTACAAATATGGGCACTGTATAAAGGCATTATTTATTTTGTTATAAAATTATATATATATATATATATTAAATCGGTCCAAATACAGTAATATACATAGCACTGATGCTCAACTGACGGATTTTATTTGATGTGCTCTCCCCCGTTTTACATGTAAATGCTTTTTTGTAGATGCTTTGTACCAAAAAATATTTCCTTTTCTCCTTTTGGTTAGCCACTGAGCTATTTTAAAATCAATATTTTAACAGCAGCTGTAGCCTGGATCGCTTAGGCATGTTGTAATACAAAAATAGGCACATACTCAGAAGACTCTCTCTCTCTCTCCCTCCTGCATGGCTTTTTAATCTGCCAAATGGATTTCTCTTTATATAAAATAAATAAATAAAAACAAATGAAAAACAAAAACATACAAAAATAAAACCCTGCATTTAACTTTTCTGCATAAAACTGGTCTCAATGGAAGTGTTCACAAACCACTACAGTTTAAGACACTTTACTGCCATTTTCACTGTTGTATCATCGGTCTGGGGTAGGCAGCAACTGAGAGCCATGTTTTGAGGGTCGAGAAGAGCCTGCGCTAGGATGAAGGTGTTGTCCCTGGTTCAATGTTTTCCTTTGTTGCTGAGCAGCTGTAAGGCAGAGTAAAAACAAACCCATTATGGCGATGCCACAAAGAATGAACTGTTCATACATCCTCTCAATCTCACCATCTTCTAATAACATGCCCTAAATCCTCTTATTTCCTTTGGGTTGGGGTGGTTTTCTCAAGTCCTCCATGTATCTTCATCTCAGTTGTTGAAGGGCTACCGTACTTAGTTACCCTAATACTCAGGAAATATCAATGGAATTACCCAACGCAAGGCCATTTTTTGGATGTTTATTTTATTTAAAGGTCATAAAATGTTACTATAGTATTGCTTAGTACCTAAAGGTCTAAGTGCCTCCCCCTCTCTGCCTTGATAATCCATCCTATTTATCTGATTCATATCAGTTGTGATGAAGCAGTGCAATTATTTTAATTATTCTCATTATTTTTTATTATTCGAGCATCCCAACTGCCATTTTTTTTTCTACGATGTTATTCTTGCAAGCACTGCGTTAACTGTTTGTTCTTTCCGAACTGGTTATTTAACTTTCTGTGCGAAAGAACCATGCTTTTGCGCTCAAAATGAAGGGATCTTTCTGACTTTCTTTGGCAACGGTTTAATATCAGTAGCCCACACAGCCTGTGTGTATTTTTAATTGATTTAACCTCTGCACGCTAGAAAATACGTCCGAAAATGCACAATCCATGTACTTTCATTTTTAATATCAATAAAAAACATTTTATCGAACATGTTTCAGTCATGTGCGAGTGTGTTTTCATTGCTGTGTTACACTGTAAATGATTTAGTAGGCATTGAGGCCTACGCTGTGTTTTCTTTTTTGCTGCTTTTAGCATCTTTTCTGCTCTGGCTCATCTGCAGAAAGTAAAAGTGTGTCAACGGAAGAAAAGGCACTATAATGCCACCAAACCTGGGAGCAGATTAGTGATAATACTTATGTGTGTGTGTGTGTTTTTTTATTTAAATCAATTGATTTATTATTAACCCTTTAACTACCTCACCAAGAAAAAAAAAATGTTTGGATTGCAATTCTACTACTACTAATATCGCTAGTTAAAACACTCAATGTGTTTTTCAAAACATCCTATTATTTCTAAAATATCAGCCTCTGCCAAATGATTATTATGTCAGTGTATGGTAAAAGTACTGGAATTAATACATATACTATGAAAAATCTGAAAATATGAAATGTAAAATTGATTTATTTAAAGAAATATTCAAAATTAAACATTGATGATTATTAAAATCACCAAATATGTTGTCATCAAATATTTCAGATTCTCATTTAACATGTTTTCTAAACTGAAACCAAGTGTGGTAGTGCAACAGGATAATGTTGTTAGATTGTTTTGTAAACCAACAATGCTGTGTGTAAACAATTTTTAACCATTTTATTTTAACAATTATTATTTAAAACAGTAAAAACATGGTCAACCGTTTGGTAGAGCGGCAGTCAAATGGTTAACGTGACATTTTAAATCAAATGTAAAGCATAATCTTTGTGATTTCCCATTTAAAACATGATTTTTTTCATCCACCATGAGCACTAGTAGTTGTAATTTAGGGTAAGGGTCACATAATGTTTACTTAGTGCTCCTATGAGTCATGGATAATTAGTTCAACCTTAAATTTGTATTACTTTTACGTGCTCTTTAATGTCGCAGCTAATGACTTCTTCATCAACAAATCATCATCTGCCCACAGTTCTTACAGCAACAGATGAACACATCACACTATTGAACACATTTACTTTCAACTTACTGTCCTATTAGTGGCAGACGTATCAAAAAAGTTATGTTAACTACTACAGATGATCCTATTCTCCTGCAATCTTCAGGATAAAAGGCATATTAGGAATGACTCTTAGTTGATCAGATTTTACCTCTCAGGTGAGCCATTTAAGTTGTCTTGATGTCCACCACAGATAGCAGGGTGCCTCAGGGCTCAGGTCTTTTTCACTATTTACAAATCACATGGATTTGTTATTTAGTAACGTGTTTTTTTTTTTTTCCTATCACTGCTGACACTCAATTTCACCTCACACTCTCGCTTGGTTATCTGACATTAGATGCTCAAATTTCAGCAGGTCTGACAGACATTTCTTGTTAAATGAGGGACCCTCACTTTCAACTCAACCTTGTCAAGACAGAGCTGCTGATCCAGAATTTGTCAGCAAGTGTACACTACGGTCAATTTAGTTCATCCAATTCACCTATACCGCATTTCTTTGGACTGTGGGGGAAACCAGAGTACCTGGAGGAAACCCAACACATGAAGAACATGCTAACACCTCACATAAATGCCAACTGGCATATATATATATATATATATATATATATATATATATATATATATATATATATATATATATATATATATACACACACACACACACACACACACACACACACACACACACACACACACACACACACACACACACACACACACACACACACACACATATATATATATATATATTGCATTTTTTGGGGGGTTAGCTTAAGAACTTTTTACAAATTTTTAAAAATCTTTTACCCTTAAGATTTATTGTGAATATGGTCTCTGGACAGAAAAAAAAAAAAAAAAAAAAACTTATAGTAATATATTTCTTTGTTTACTTTCTTTTTTTAGTAGTCTTTTTATAGTATATGTCCATAACTTGAAATTGTGTATCAGTCTAGAATTTTATTCCTGTTCAAAAAATGTAATCCAAGCCTAATTCCTACCCCTAAATCTATCCCTAACTCTAAATGAATAATAATAATAATATAAGAAGAACCTAACCTTGACATGAATTGTAAACTGATTGTCAAATCTGAAAAAAGGTCGCTGGTTCGAGTCCCTGGTGAGTTGGAATCTCTGTGTGGAGTTTGCTTGTTCTCCCTGTGTTAGTGTAACACCCCATTCACACAGGGCGTCAGCTTCAACGCTTCCCATTCACTTTGAATGGGTGAAATCAGGCGTTGCCGAACTGCATTGTGGATCCATCGGCACCACTTCAGAGGCGTTGCTCGCTGCATAAGTTGGGACTTGCTTAACTTTTCAAGCGATGACCGAAGCGTCAGCTAATCAGATCGCTGCATGCAAATACACCAGCTCAGACAGTGGCGTATTGTTGACTAATTTCATTGGCTGATGCTGCTATGACGATCGCGTCAACCCCAACTTCAGACACGCCCTTATACAAGCGTTGACGCTGAAGTACCGTGTGAATGGGGCATAACGGATGCCAGCTAGTGAGTGCTGTGCAGGTAAACCTCACTCTTCTGACCTCTAACGCCCCATTCACATGGGTGTCAGCGTCAACGCTTCCCATTCAATCTGAATAGGTGACGTCAGGCGATGCTGAACTGCATTGTGGATCCGTGGGGGCCGCTTTAGAGGCGTTGCTCGCTGCAGAAGTTGGGACTAGCTCAACTTTTCAAGCGCAGACGGAAGCGTCAGCCAATCATGTCGCTGTATGCAAATACACCAGCTAGACAGTGGCCTATTGCTGACTGAATTTCATTGGCTGACGCTTCTATGATGATCGCTTCAGCACCCAACTTCAAACACACCTTCAGCCAAGCGTTGACGCTGAAGCCCTGTGTGAATGGGGCGTAAAGGTGCTATAGTGAAAGATGCTAAAGGCCATGGTCTTTAGCCTCCTTGTTAGACCAAACGACTCCTGTATGGAAGGTTGCTGGTTCGATCCCAGGTCGAAGTGGATTGGGTGGTGTAGGACCAGCAGGGTTACATTGGTGCCGTGTCCCGAATGGGAGTAAGGTTTAGAGGGTTGAGTGTAACGGAGGCCAGCTAATGAGTGCTGTGCAGGTAAACCTTCCTCCTCTGACATCTTAGGCTGCATTTACACTGCAGATCTTGGTGGTCAATTCTGATTTTGTTACTGTACTGTTTTTTTTTGCTGACGTGCTCACATCATCTTTTAAAAGTGACTTGTATCAGAGCATCTGCATTTACACAGCATACGGCAAAGATGCAATGACCAGGAAAAAAAGAACGGGACGTCATTTGCTTTGGTTATTAATAATGCGCGACTCGCATTGACAGGTGAAAATCCGATCTACCTGCTTACACTGCAGACACGAGAACACAGATCTGATTCATATCGGGTAAATTTCCACATATGAACAAAATCTGAATCTGATTTGAATAAATCGGAATCCATGTGATTTGTTCCTGCTTACACGTACATGGGCCATATCTGATCTGTGCCACATGGGAGGAATAAATCGGAATTGAGTCACTTGAAGAGTGCAGTGTAAATGTGGCCTGAAGGTGCTCTAGCAACAGAGGCCATGGTTTTTTGCCTTGTTAGAGCAACCGACTCCCATGCGGAAGATTTGATCCCAGCTAAGAGCAGGTTGGGTGGTGTAGGACTGCAGGGTTACATTTGCATGACCTTGCTCCGGCACAGTCCAAAGGCATTAAGTGAACAAAATTGTCATTATAGAGTATAGTGTATGAGTGCGTGTATGAAAGTGAAAGTGTATGGTTGTTCCCAGCAGCTGGTAGTGCATCCACTGGGTTAAACATGTGCTGGAATAGTTGGCAGTTCATTCCACTGGGGCGGTCTCTGATAAACCAGGGGCTAAGCCGAAGGAAAAATGGATGAATGAATGAATCAATCAAGAACTGAAACTGTCGGTTTAATGAAAGTTAACTTGCACAAAGCATCGTTGGAAAAAACACACATCATTTCCCTCAATGTATTTCATTATAACTTACCTAATTCCCTTTAATTAACTTAAATTTTATTACAAAATAGTGAGAGAAGTATAAATGGAATGAAAACGGTAAGCGTAATACAACGTCATTTTAGGTGCAATACACCTTTAAGATGAATCAGCTTTGGTCCATGTAATATTGCAGTCTCCTATCTTTCTAGAACAGCTGACTAAGGAGTACAAATTCTTCCTTGAAGCCTTTTAGATTCCTTTTAGCTGTCAGAGGCTGCACATTAACGCACAGAGCGGCAGTGTGTGACAGATCAACTAGTGAAGCATGGTGACAGGCAACCTGCTGTGTGCTAGCGAGTACTTGTGTCTGTAACATGCTATAATGATGAAAGCACTCGACAAATCCCCCTCAAGACCCCACGTAAATGTCATTACAGTACGAGAGAAAACGTTAAATGTTGCAAGACTTTAACCTGCTTGTTTAATTTAGTGCAGTGTGGCAGTTTAAATATTAACCAGCGCTTCTGCACAATTCCATTTCCCCGCAACAGATTTTAATCGGAGAACAGTGTCTTTACAACACAAATGAATATTTCAAAATGTAGGTTGTCATTCAAGATTGTGTGAGCGTGGACTCAATGAACCCGAACGCTGGAATTGTTCATGTGCACATGTTGATATACAGTTGAAGTCAGAATTATTAGCCCTTCAGTCCTGACTTATTAGCTGAATTAGGCTATATATATTTTCCCCTAATTTCTGTCCAATGCTAAAGATTATTTTCCATGCATTTCTAAACATAATTGTTTTAATAACTAATTTTTATTTTTTTAGGGGGACTAATATTATTGACCCTAGAATGGTTCTAAAACATTTAAAACTGCTTTTATTCTAGCCAAAATAAAACAAATAAGACTTTCCCCAAGAAAAAAGTATTATAGGAAACACTGTGAAAAATTCCTTGCTCTATTAAACATTACTTGGGAAATATTTGAAAAAAAGGGCAACACAGTGGTGAAGTAGGTAGTGCTGTTGCCTCACAGCAAGAAGGTC